TGTTTCAGTGAGGATGACGAGGCCAGAGCAGGAAATGAGATGCAGAGATTCTTCAGTTTATGGCAGAAAGAATCAGAGAAGCTGCAGAGAATAGAAGCCCGAAGCTTTTTGCTCCGGCGTCGGTTTCGGATGGAGAACCGGTCAGCAGCAACACGACTCTGTTTCACTCCTCATCCTGCAGGGCTGCAGCTTCTCCACTCGTTTATTTTATTACAAACACATTCAGTAAATTGGAATATTGCTGGAAAGCTAATTTATTTTACCACAAAGTAAAACTGATGAATTACACACAGTGTTTGAAAGCCTGTATTTATGTTGTGATGATTTTCCACTTACAGCTATGAAAACATTTAAAGTAGAAAATATTATCAGACCAATAAAAGCAGATTTTAATACAGAAATGTGGGTTTGATAAAAAATTTAAAACATACTTTTAATCTAACAACCATTTAATATGAGAATCCTGAAAAAAATTCTCTATTTAAAAGAAAATGTTAGTGCACAAAGACACGATAAACAGGCAGGAACATCTCGCCATTTTTTGCATTATTATGTCTGTTTCAGTTGTTATAAAACTGAACATAACTTAAAAGAAGCTTGGTTTTGAAATTGGGCCTCTGTCTCTTTAAGAAGTTCCTGCAGCTCTCTATGCATGTTTCTCGCTTTATAACGTGATATAATATAGATATAACATAATGACATTTTATGTCCTTCTGTGTCGTCTTTCACTGATATTTAAATTGATTTTCTGAAACACTGAAGTGTGACAAACGTTAAAACGAGAAATCTAAAAACATTAATGCAGGAGTTCATTATTTAAACATTTGAATCTGCTGCTCTGGATTTTTGCCTGCTGGGAAAAAAAAAATCATCTGTAGAGGAAACTTCCTCCACTGTCAGACCTTCAGCAGGAAAATTCAGGTTTGAAACGCCGTTAAATCAGCGAATCCTGAGAACCATCTGTTATCGTTAGAGTCTCTGCTGGAAGATGCTTCACATACACACACACACACACACACACACACACACACACACACACACACACACACACACACACACACACACACACACACACACACACACACACACACACACACGACCTGAAGCAGGTTTGTGTTCTTCATCTCAGCGGATGGTGATGTTACGTCTATTTAACTGACACATAAATAAACGAGGTCTGATCACTGACCTACATCTCCTCCCAGTTTCCTGTTTCGAATGTGGCGCGTCTGGATCTGCTGCTGGCATAAAGGCCCGTGTTGATGCTAGCACAAACATTAGCATGCTCACCCCTCTGGTTGTGTGTTCTTCATATTTCCCATTAGTCTCTTGGATTTCAGGATGACCGTCAATTTTTGAGTCTTTTAAACCAATTATTACCATAAAACGGGAAGAACTGGTGGAGTTTTTGACTTTGACAGATGCCAAATCAGAAACTGGGAAGTTTTTGTTGGTTCACACCTTCAGCCAGTTGGAAGGAGGAGAAGATGTGAGACATATAGTCGTTTTGACGTTAGCATTAGCTTCTGCTAATTTGTTAAAACGTGTTTAATGGTTTTGTGTCAGTGTCGACTTATTTTTTGTCTTCAGTGGTTTAGGATTAGCTTCTACCAATGCTTTTTTTATTATTAGTTACTTAACAATTATACAAATTCTCTTCTACCAATGATTTTATGTGCTTAGCCATTTAGCATTAGCCAACATGCACTTGTCTTACGAGCTATGGTTAGCTTTGCAATGTTTTTTAATGTGTCAAACAGTTTAGTGTTAGCTCTTGCTGATTTTTAAAAAATGGGTTTAGCAGTTTAACGTTTGCTTCTGCTAATTTTTGTTTAGCCATTTAGCATTAGTTTCCACCAATTTTTAAAATATAAATAGCAGTTTAGTTTTAGCTGCTATTTACTTTTTAGATGTTTAGCAGCTTTGTTTTGGCTTCTGCTAAGTTTTTTAAGTGTTTTGCTAATTATTGTTAGCTTCTGCTGATTTTTTTATGAATTAATGTTAGCATAGCTAAGATTTTTGTTTATCAAATTGGTAATTATTTAGCCTAACGTTTTGGTTATCTGTTGTCACCACTGGCAATAACTATTGCTGAAACATATATTCTCCTTAGCAAGTGTGACGGCCATTTTGAAAAAGTCCACCAGAAAAGAAAATAATGTAGGCTATGATTTAACACCAGGCTATGATTTGTGTAATTGTCAATTTTAGTGCAAAAATGTTTTTTCTGTGGCAACCATGGTGGCCATTTTGACAGAAACAATCAGTAAACATGATTTTTATTTGTCAAAATGTGTTTGATGTGACACCAAGAGAATTCGTCTTGCAAATTTAGTAAAAAAATAAATAAAATTTCCAACCATCTTGGAAAATGGCCACCATCTTGAATTTATTAGTGGCGTTTTTTCCCCCCCAAAAGCAAACCTTTTTTAACATCATGTGAAAAATATTTAAAACAACATGAGAAGTGAATGTTTTCCTCTGGTTTGTGTTTCTGCAGCCCGTCGATGTCGAGCAGCTCCAGCATTAGGGACGCAGCCCACAGACCCACAGTGAGTCCTCGACGTTCGGTGCAGCGGCGCCGAGACGTTGGCGCAGACAAAACGTTGAGCTCAGTGACAGGGTGATTCAGTCTCATCCTGTCACTGACTCACTGAGATCTGAGAGGCTTGACATGAACTCAGGATGACACGGAAAACAGATAAAACTCTTTGTGTCACCAGGGCCAAAATTCAAAATCAAACAAGGAAAGTTGCCCAATTATATTGTTTTAGTAGGAGTTGGATATTATTCACAGTAGAGTCAAACATAAAAAGGATATTTGTATATGTCAGCAAATACTGTTTTACTTTTACTTGAGTTCAGTTTTTGGTACTTATGTTGACTGCAGTTATTTCTTTAGCTGTGAACAGTTCATTAAATGTTTCTGTGAACAGTTCATTAAATGTTGCTGTGAACAGTTCATTAAATGTTGCTGTGAACAGTTCATTAAATGTTTCTGTGAACAGTTCATTAAATGTTACTGTGAACAGTTCATTAAATGTTGCTGTGAACAGTTCATTAAATGTTTTTGTGAACAGTTCATTAAATGTTGCTGTGAACAGTTCATTAAATGTTACTGTGAACAGTTCATTAAATGTTGCTGTGAACAGTTCATTAAATGTTGCTGTGAACAGTTCATTAAATGTTTCTGTGAACAGTTCATTAAATGTTACTGTGAACAGTTCATTAAATGTTGCTGTGAACAGTTCATAAATGTCGCTGTGAACAGTTCATTAAATGTTTCTGTGAACAGTTCATTAAATGTCGCTGTGAACAGTTCATTAAATGTCGCTGTGAACAGTTCATTAAATGTTACTGTGAACAGTTCATTAAATGTTACTGTGAACAGTTCATTAAATGTTTCTGTGAACAGTTCATTAAATGTTACTGTGAACAGTTCATTAAATGTTTCTGTGAACAGTTCATTAAATGTTACTGTGAACAGTTCATTAAATGTTTTTGTGAACAGTTCATTAAATGTTACTGTGAACAGTTCATTAAATGTTGCTGTGAACAGTTCATTAAATGTCGCTGTGAACACTACAGTGTTTTATGAAGAAAGGCCAAAGGAAACAAAAGAATGTTGCAGAACGCTGAGGTTTTCCATAATAGACCTGTGTGAAGATGTGAAAGTCAATTAATTTGCCTTTCAGGCAGCAAAACAAACAGTGTGTTGACAGAATCCATTTCGAGGCAGAAATTCAGCCCGTGAACCAATCAATATTTAGATGGCTTGTGTTTTGCTGCTGTGTAAACGGAGATCGGGGTTCAGGTGAGAGGAGAGAGCGTCTGCGGCTGATGATGTTTCCTCATATTAAGGACTTCAGCCAGTCAGATCAGTTTTAGAAAACTCTCACGGTGTGTTTTTATTTTCTCTGTCTTTCTGTGTGCGTACATTTGAATAAAAATAAGGAACAATAAAACTACTGCTGTTTTTTTTTTTTTTTGTTCTTTGGTAAATAAATGGGGCACCCTGAACGCTGCAGCTGCATCGCTTCAGATTTACGTTGTTAATCTGCATTTTGAAGGTTTTCGCTGCGTAAACCAGTCTGAGGAGCAGCATGGAGAGCAGTGTATGATTGTTCCACCAGGGGGCGCATTGACGGTGTAAATACCTGTTCAGTAGAAAACTATAATCTTTGAGGTGAATTATGTAAATTATTATTTATAAGGAGAATTATTACATTGTCATTTTTAGAATAATTCGGAAGTGTTTCTTCAACATGGTAGCTAGTGTGGCGTTGCTAGCGCTAGGCTTGCGAAAAAGTGTCAGATTTTAGCAGTTGTGTAAAAAAACGCTAACCATTTCACTGACCAGCACTGTCGTTTTGCTCGTATTTACCCAGAATGCACTGCACTATGGTTCACTTCCTGATTTTAGAGCATTCTGCTGTCCGCTTTACTTTCACATAGTCATTCGGACCGAACCAGTCGGTTATGGCATTGAGCTAAGTCTGGTCTGGAACTCTGGTTCTGTTCAAAAGGAAGTGGACTACAGCACAGGGCATTCTGGGTAAATACAACCTAGACAAATGTGTTAGCCTAGCACAGACACGACTCATTATTTTTTTAGTGACAAAATAGAAATTCTACAACGACTGAAATCTGACGGCATCCATTTGTGTTTCCAAGTGTTGCAGAAGGAAGTTGCGTGTCTTTTTCTGAAGTTTCTGTGTCGTTTTCTTCAGTGGTTCTTGGTGCAGCCCCCCCCCCCAGGCAAGGAGGGCAACAAGTTATTCAAAGGTTTTTGATTCAAAGTGGCTGAAACTATAACAAGTTTTGTTCCCCAATCGAACCGAGTTTACCAAACTACCAAGTATGAAAACACTGTTACTGTTGCCATTTTCGCCACCTGCTGGTAAAGTGTACACATTACAGCGTTTTGAATTGAAATCCTGTTGAAAAGCTTATAAAATATTCAGAGAAGTGCAGCTGAAGCCTCAGTGTGAATGTGGACTGTTTGTTAAGTTTATTGTTCTCCATCCCTCCTGTTAGCCAAACAAGCATCTCTTCATCGGGGCAAACAGTCATTTTCCATCCACTGATATGTTTTCCTTTCTGAACTGAAGGCTGGGACTCAGACAGCAGCGAGCTGATGGAGGAAGAGCTGCAGGCGACAAGCTGAACACCTGCACCTCCTCAGCAGAGTCACACACCCCATTAGTTCAGCAGCAGAAAATCCATCAGGGAAAATGTTCTCACTGTTCTCAATAACTGTAACTTAAAGTCAGAAATTCATTCTGATGCAACGCTTTCAGTACAGCAGAACACTAGATTAGGATGAGGCAACAGAAGGGAAATTTTTATTTCACTATTTCATACAATTATTTCACTTGAAGGTGTTTTATTAGTGTAATGTGGAGAGCTTGCTAAACAGCCAGTCAGTAGCTGGACAGGAAGCAGAAAAATCATTTTCCAGATGATAAACAAGGACAACTTTTCAATGATTACTGCTCAAAAATAGGAACATTTTACATTTTCTAACACTTACAGGTAAAATATAGTTAATTTTGAGCATAAACAAGGATCTTGGATCCAGTTAAAAATGCTAATAGCTGATAATTTTAATAATTCAAACACCAAAAATATCTTAATTTGCATTAATACGAATGTTTGCGAGGGAGGAGCTATTGTCTTCAGTCTTCAGCCAATCAGCATCAAGGAAAACAAAATGGCGCTCACCGATTGGCTGACCTGCTAAGTGTCAAGAATCACAGTATTTAGGCATTTAGCAATAAAAACTGTTTAAAAAACAAAGTTTTACAAAATACTTTTGTCTAGTTTCTTAGATTAATAAGACAATAGGTAAAATATACCAGAAGAGAAGATTTATTGTCAAAATTTGTCAGACTTTCCTTCTCAGTTCATCATATTAGTACCATGAAAAGCAACAAAATTGTTTTTTTAGAACTATGTCTCATTTTAAATCAACTAAACTGCAGAAGACAGATGTTATAATGTTGATTTTATGAAAATATTGTTGCACAGATAAACACTGTAAAACACGACATTTTACCAAGTTTTTATGGTTCCTGCTGGCTGATTATCTGTTTAAAACACACATTAATATAAAACACATAAAACTGATAAAAACAAAATTTTGAGTCCCACTAGCAGATTATGTCACTCATAACATTATTTCCATTTTAAAAGGAAAATAAAAAAATAACCAATTATTAAACTTCTACATCTTATTGAAAAGTTATTTGTATGTTAGTTTCATCTTATTCAAGTGAATTGTTTAATTTCCTCTAGAAACTGAACAAAAATATTTTGTAACATTTTGAATTTTTGCAGAGAAATAATTCACAATAAAATCAGTTTTGGATTTTTGATTGGAGAAAGTGATTTATCCCCAGAAACCTTTAATCTTGTGGGATTTTTGGCCTAAGAGAAGCAAATGAAGGAAATCTGAAGCGTCTGATCTCCATGTTTCCTCACAGGAATGTGAAGCAGAGCTGCTTTTATTGAAATAAAAGCGACTAAAAAGTGAATCAGCTGCAGCCGCAGGACTAAATCTCTTTACATGGAGAGTTCAACAGACGAAAAACCCTCAGAGAGCAGATCTTCATTTTTATATCACCTCGCTGTAACATCAGTCATCCCAGGGCGCGTTTCCCTGTAAAGAGCAGGTTTCTTCCTCCCACTCATTTTCCCTTCATGCTCTGTTTATTTAGCCTCAGCCTCTGGTCCCCTCCACTAACTCAATGAAAGCAGCCGCTCCTGGTTCAGTGAAGCGTCGGTTTGCTGCTGAAAAGGCAGATTTTTATTACATCAACAGGAAAATGTAGCACTTTGTCTCTGAGATATCAGCAGCTCATTTATCCACAGAAAACCAGCGGAAACGGTGTAATTGATTCACGTTCGGCACCGTAAAGAGCCGGGCGTCTTTTTCCTGCTTCATGAATTTAATAAATCAGACTGACAGACAGACGAGCCACGACTGGAGGCAGAAATCACTTCACAGGGTTTCAGAAATGTACCTGCTGCTGCGTTTTACCAAAACAAACAGAGAAAATTTGAGATTAAAATCATACTGTTTCTAGGAAAAGCTCAGATTCATCTGAGTTTTAAAAGTAAAAAAAAAAAAACCTGCTAGATAAAACTCAGAAATTGTAAGATTAGATCACAAATTTTCTAGAAAGAAACTGGAAATTTCTGAGCTTGAAAAATAGAAAACTTGCTGAGAGAAACAAGGAAATTTTTAGATAAATCTCAGAAATTTCTGAGTTTTGGAAGTCAAAGACTTGCTAGAAAAAGCCCATAAATTTTGAGATTGATTCTGAAATTTTCAAGAAAAATGTTTGGGAATCTCTGAGTTTTGAAAATCAAAAATTTGCTTAAAAAAATCCAGAAATTTTCTGGAAAAAACATTAATTTGTTTGAAAAAACTAAGAAATTTTAAAATTAATCTCAGAAATTAGAGAGTAATTTAGAAAAACTTTTTAATTAATTGCATTTGTTGTTTCTGTTGCTTTGATTATTTATTTTGGATATTTAGAAAGTCTCC